ACAGCCAGAGGTCTTGTCTAACAGCCAGAGGTCTGGTCTAACAGCAAAGAGGTCTGGTCTAACAGTCAGAGGTCTGGTCTAACAGCCAGAGGTCTGGTCTAACAGTCAGAGGTCTGGTCTAACAGCCAGAGGTCTGGTCTAACAGCCAGAGGTCTGGTCTAACAGCCAGGGGTCTGGTCTAACAGCCAGGGGTGCAAAAACCTTATGTCTGCGGCACATCAGCACCCCTCTCCCCCGACTCCCCCTTCCACTTACCACTAAAATATCTGTAGGGGCCTACAGTGTTTAGAGATGGGGGCATGGGGGATGTGGTTTAATACCCCCCCCCCTACCCCAACAAATGTATAGACGCTTTATTATTAAGAATTAGTTTTTTTTATACGCTTCATATTATTTCAAGCATGTTATTATAATTGTTTTCGTTTGTGAACAATTAACAGTAATAAACATTATAATTACTTTTATTATTGCGCATTTAAAAGAGGTCGGAAATGTATTAGAACCATTAGACTTGACTAGTCAGTGCTTTTGGGACATGTTATGAGAAGGAATGGACTCGAAACACTGGTTAACGATTGGCAAAATTGAAGGAAAGTGAGCAAGAAAAAGGCAAAAAGATTCATACTTGGAACGCTTGGCCAAATAAATGAAGCGAAACAAAAGAAAATATGGACTTGATTAGTGATTCCGAGGATCGTGTAAAATAGCAAAACATGGCAACCTACGCCAACCAGCAGGGCACATGATGATGATGATGATTACTTGATGATGATGATGATGATGATGATGAGGATTTAACGCTCCTCTATATTTCCAATCGATTTCTTTGTTACAGTATCATGTCAGGAGCCTCTGAATCACACAGAGCCATACACAAAATACACTTAACCGACGCGCTCGCCTAGCAGTATCAAACAATGGAAGAGCGTTACAATCACAAGCCATGTCTTACTCGGACAACAATCCCATCTTCGTTTTAAGGCTCAAGTAAAGTAAAGATCCTTTTTCACGCCTTTAGGCGCATCGGGCATATGGGAAGAGCATCCATATGTTTACAGACCAATCGGCACCAGAAAGGTAATGTGGTCAGCATTACGCCGGCCGTCTTTACTTCCCCAGAACATAAATCTAGGTACCCATTTTAGGCTGGGTTGACCTGCTACGCCCTTTACCATGATAAAAATCCTCACAATCAGAAGTGAGATTTGATCGAGGTACACTGGAATTACGAATCGGACTCGCAACACCTAAACCACGGACACCTCCTTTAAGGCTTAGGCCACTGGAAATTCTACACAACTTTCTTGTTTAGTCAGCGAGCATGGTTATAAAATCATTTATTACAGAAAAGCATGTCGAGAAGTGCTGATAAGAAAAACTTGAGTTTCCTTTCCATCGTTGTTTTTTTTTTAAATTTATGATTCAAATATATGACCCCTTGTGGGTTCCTTGTCATAATTCAACGAGTGGGGTAGGGGTGGGTGGGGAGGAATAGACCGACTTACCTCAACCACTCACCCCCCCCCCCGCCCTACACCCACCCCCACCAACACCCAACAATTATGCGGTAAAATGCGACTCATTAGCACGGCTTCCGTCGAAGTCATAGCGTTTGCCGGTGACAGGTGAGGAACCAATAGTTGCATACAATAAGCCATATCTGTAAGACGGATGTTCCCGCAAAACCCAAGTTCTGGAACAAGGCCAAAGGTGCTTTATTATGACGTCACATGACAGTCCACAATTTTAAAGGATTTGTAAGACTGGGTTTCCCCGTTTTCTGATGCTTTTAACGACCCCAAAACATCTAGAACTGGTCCTAACACCAACCCACCTACGTTCCACGAGGGAGGACAGCCTAGGTCCCACGACAGCATGCAGCCTATCTACCACCCCCTGAAATATTAGACTGTCCCGCGACCTTTGATTTCCTCTATTTGGGGTAAAATATTAATAAAGCACCAGGCCAAAGTCCAGAAATGGATGAATAACAGTAATTTTCCACTATCTAAGTTTACAACCGGTGAATGCTAAAAATATATATGACATGGATAATTTCGGTATGCTGCTTTTCTATAGGTAAATAAATTAGGAATGCTTTGTGTGTGTGTGTGTGTGTGTGTGTGTGTGTGTGTGTGTGCAACGACCTCAGAGAGACAAGCGAAGGATGAGTTATAAAAGGTGGGTTACATTGTGGATAAGTCCGACTCGTAATTCCAACGTACTGCGATCGAAACCCATTGCTATTTTTATCATGGTATAAGGCGTCGCAGGCCGCCCCAGTCTAAAACGGGTACTAGGAGGGCTGTCCTGGAGAAGTAAAGACTGCTGGCGAAATGCTGACCACATTAAACACCTTGTACCATTAGGTCTGAAAAAAAAATATGGTATGTTCTTCCCTTATGCCCGATGCACCTAAAGCATGAAAAGGGATCTTTGCTTTACTTACTTTGCTTACATTATGGATAAGAACTAATTCTTCACGAATGGCTCTCAGTTTAGGTTACTGTACCTGGTGAGGCGCAGCCAAAAGGTTGTCTAGAGCCTACCTATCATCTTACTGTACCTGGTGAGGCGCAGCCAAAAGGTTGTCTAGAGCCTACCTATCATCAGTTGAGCCCTTCCCCCATCCCCCCCACTCCCTATTTTTCTGCTCCTTTTCAACAAGTGTTTTGGTCTCGGTCTCCTATTCACGTTTCCCGGCCCATCTTCACACTTTTTCAGGCTATGTCAGAGGGGTGTCACGTTTACTGTTTTCTTAGAAAGGACTCTCTCCTAGGACCTAGGCTAATTCTGTGGGTAGCGGGATTTGGGTTAGGGCCCATTCTAGATGTTCTGGGGTCGTTAAAAGATGTGTCGTCGTGTGTTATAGAACACGCGACATTGGCGCGGATGTAATTGGAAACAAGACAACGTGACACCCCTCTGACGTAGACTAGTTAGGCAAGCATGCCGACCCGCCAACTTATCGCAATGGCACAGATGCCGTGCTGCTTACTCGTACCCAGTTAATG